TATCTACTCTATTCATCACACTCTAAAAAAATCTCCAAAAGGTTTATCAAACATTATTTCCCTTTCATAAATCCAAGCCAACTCTGCCCAATCCGACCAACATTTTCAAAGTTACAGTTATCGCATCCTTTTCCCCTTGACTGATGTCAGGCTAACAGGTCTGTAGTTCGCAGTTTGTTCTCTCCTTTCTTTCTTAAAAAGCGAGGTTATATTTTCAATCTTCTTATCTGCCACGACCATTCCATAGAGGTTTAGAAGATAATCAGCAACAGATGCCTCAGCGATGTAGATTCTCAAATTCAGGGGATTTATTCGTTTTAAGTCCCATTCACTTCTCTAGTGCTACATTATTACTGATATTAATACCTGAGGTTCCTCATTTGCACAAGCTCCTAGATTCTCCGTTATCTCTGAGATGTTCTTAGTATTTATATCTTATACTTGGTTAGTTTCTCTGCTACTTCCTCATATTCTCCTGCCTGAATTTCTTATGGACTCACACTACAGAGAGCTGTGAACACAGCCTAGTCCATCACGCAAACCAATGTTCTATCCATTAAAAAAAACCGAAAGAACTGCAGATGATGTAAATCAGGAACAAAAACAGAAGTTGCTGGAAAAGCTCAGCAGGTCTGGCAGCATCTGTGAAGAATAAATCAAAGGTAACGTTTTGGGTCCGGTGACCCTTCCTTAGAACTGACGGTAGCTAGGAAAACGTCGGTTTGTATGCAGAAAATAGGGAGGTGGGGATGGAGTATGGAGTAAACAATAGGATAAAGTATAGAGCCCAAAGAGAGAGAAGAGCAGTTGGATAGATAAAGGAGTTGATAATGATGTGGCTAGGAGGGTAAATAGCTGATAATGAGAACTGTTAGTGACTAACAATATGTGTAATGGCAGGCTATGTGATAAAAAGGCCTGGTGTGTGAGGTAGAGGGCTAGGACATGGGAGAGTTTAGGCCCTAAAATTATTGAACTCAATATTGAGTCCGGAGGGCTGCAGGGTCCCCAAGTGGAAAATGAGGTGTTCTTCCAGCTTGTGCTGGCCTGAGACAGAGATGTTGGCCAGGGAGCAGGGTGGTGTGTTAAAGTGGCAGGCAACTGGAAGCTCAGGGTCTTTTTTGTGGGCAGAATGTAAATGTTCTGCGAAGCAGTCACCCAGACTACGCTTTGTTTCCCCACTGTAGAGGAGACCACATTGTCAGCAGTGAATGCAGTAGGCTAGATTGTGAGATGTGCAGGTAAAGTGCTGCTTCACCTGGAAGGTATGTTTGGGCCCTTGGATGGAGATGTAAATGGACAGGTGTTGCACCTTCGCTGGTCGCAGGGGAAGGTGCCGTGGGGCTGTGTGGGGGCATTGGGGGTGAAGGAAAAGTGAACCAGGATGTCCTATAGGGAACGGTCCCTGCAGAAGGCGGACAAGGGAGGGGAGGGGAGTATGTGTGGTGACAGCATCTTGCTGGAGGTGGCAGAAATGGTGTCTGATGATCTTCTACATGTTGGTGGGATGGTAGGTAAGGATAAGAGGAACCTTATTGCTGTTGCGGGAGGGAAGAGAAGGGGTGAGGGTGGAAGTGCGGGAGATGGGTTGGACTCAGTTGATGGCCCTGTCGATAATGGTGCTGGGGAATCCTTGGTTGAGGAAGAAGGAGGACATTTCGGAGGCTCCCTTGTCGAAGTTGGCCTCATCTGAACATATGCTACAGAGACGGTGGAATGGTGAGAATGGGACGGAGTCTTTACAGGAAGCAGGGTATGAGGATGTACAGTCCAGATAGCTGTGGGAGTCAGTGGGTTTGTAGTGGATGTTAGTGGCCAGTCTATCCCCAGAAATGGAAACAGAGATGTCAAGGAAGGGAAGGGAGGAGTCAGAGATAGAACAGGTGAAAGTGAGGGCAGGGTGGAAATTGGAAGCGAAATTGATGAACTTTTCCAATTCCAGATGAAAGAGGGAATCAGCACCAACGGTATCATCGATATATTCGGAGCAACAGTTGTGGGTGGGGGCCGGAACATGACCGGAACAAGGAATATTCCAAGTACCCCATGAAGAGACAGGCATAACTAGGGCACATGCGGGTACTCATGGCCACCCCTCTGACCTGTAGAAAATGAGAAGAGTTAAAAGAAAAGTTGTTGAGGGTGAGGACGAGCTCGGCCAAGTGGAGGAGGATGGTAGGTGGGTGGGGATGGTTCAGGCCTTTGCTCCACGAAGAAGGGGAAAGCCCTAAGACCCTACTGGTGGGGGATGGATGTGTAAAGGGATTGCACGTCCATGGTAAAGAGGCGGCGGCTGGAACCTGCAAACTGGAAATTTTGAAACTGGCGTAAAGTGTCATTCCTCTGTTTTTGTGTTTCTTGCTAGTTTACTCTTATATCCACATTTTCCCTTTCTTAATCTTTATCTCGGTCTTCCTTTGTCAAATACTAAAATCCTCCCAATCATCTGGCTTACTACTTTTTGCTCAAATTTATACATGTGTTCCTTTCATCTAATATGATCCTTAATTTCTTTTGTTAGCCACAGTCAGAACACTGTCCTTGCAGGGTTTTTGTGCATTAAAGAAATGTATTTTGGTGGTAAACTACATTTTATTTCTTTAAATATTAGCCGCTGGCTGTCTGCTGCCATAGTTTTAAACATGGTTTCCCATTCCATCACAGGCAATTAGCTTTGCTGAGATTTAAGGTCCTGGTTTCTGATTGAACTACATCATTTTCAAACTTAACGTAAAATGCTATCATATTGTGATCACACTTTCCTAAAGGTTCTTTCATGACATGATTATTTTTAATTAGCAATTATTCATCACATAATACTGAAATAGCCCATTCCATAGTTGGTTCCTTAATTTCCTACAACTTAAAAACTATCTTGGAGTGAGACAGGATCATGTGAAGGTCCAGACTGGGAGGAGCAGCAGATTCCCTTCCCTGAAGGAAATCATTGACACAATTGGGTTTTTACAACAACATGGCAGCTTTCATGAGGATTTTTCCTGGTGTCACAAACTACCAGATTTACTATTTGACACAGTGGGATTTGAATTCGCCATCCATGGTCACCAATCTCAGACCAGAACCAATGCACAGCTCCCATGGATGCCCCCGCTGCACAGTTCACATGGGTGCCCCCCGCTGCATGGCTCCAGTGGGTGTCCCTGCTGCACAGCTCCCATACAGTACAAAAGAGGCACTTCAGCCCATTAAGACTGTACCACCAAAGCTACACTAAAGTTACATTAGTCCCACTTTCCAGCACTAGGCCCACAACCTTGAATGATCCCATCAACCCTCTCTGCTCTAAAGAAAACAACCCGAGCTTATCCAGCCTCTCTTCATCACTGAGTCACTCCAGCCCAGGCAGTATCCTGGTGAATCTCCTCTGCACCCCCTCCGGTGTAATCACATCCTCCCCATAGCGCAGGGACCAGAAATGTACACAGTACTCCAGCTGTGGCCTAACCAAAGTCCTGTACAGCTTTAACATAACCTTCCTGATCTTATAAACTATGCCACAACTGATAAAGACAAGTGTCCCCTATGCCTTCTTAACTACCTAACTAACCTGTCCTGCTGCCTTCAGGAATCTGGGGACAAACACCCCAAGATCCTTCTGTTCCCCTGAGCTTCCTAATGTCCTGCCATTCATTGAGTACACCCTTGTCTTGTCACTTCTTCCAAACTGCATCCCTCACATTTATCAGGGTTAAATTCCATCTGTCACTGATGTGCCCATCTGACCAAGCCGTTTATATCTTCCTGTAACCTAATACCTTCTTCCTTACTATCAACACTGCCAACTGTGTCATCCGCAAACTGAGTTATCATTCACCCCCCCAACATTCTCGTCTATAGTGTTCATGTATATCACAGACAATAAGGGGCCCAGCATTGATCTCTATGGTATGCCACCACACACCAGTGCACTCCAAACACACAAACACCCTTCTATCCCACCCTCTGTCTCCTGCGTCCTGGCTGCATTGCTCCCATGTGCACTACAGAGTCACAGAGTCCTGCAGGACAAAAAAGGCCCTTTGGCCCATCACAGCTGCGCCAGTCAAAAACAAACATCTAACTATTCTAATCATATTTTTCAGCACTTGGTCTATTACCTGGTATGCTTTGGCATTGTAAGTGTAAATCTAAATACTTCTTCAATGTTATAATGGCTTCTGACTCTACCACCCTCTTGCATGGCCCCTGAATGCACCTGTGCTGCACGGTCCCCGAATGCAACTGTGCTGAACGGTCCCTGAATGCGCTTGTGCTGCATGGTGCACGAATGCACCTCTGCTGCACGGTGCCCGAATGAGCCTGTGCTGCATGGTGCCCGAATGAGCCTGTGCTGCATGGTGCCCAAATGAGCCTGTGCTGCATGGTGCATGAATGCACCTCTGCTGCATGGTGCACGAATGCGCCTGTGCTGCATGGTGCCCGAATGCGCCTGTGCTGCATGGTGCCCAAATGTACCTGTGCTGCAACGGTCCCTGAATGTGCCTGTACTGCACGGTCCCCTAATGCACCTGTGCTGAACGGTCCCCAAATGTGCCTGTGTTGCATCGTCCACGAATGCACCTGTGCTGCATGGTGCCCGAATGTGCTTGAGCTGCATGGTGCCAACTGCGTCTGTGCTTCATGGTGCCCAAATGCGCCTGTGCTGCATAGTGCCCAAATGCGCCTGTGCTGCATAGTGCCCAAATGCGCCTGTGCTGCATGGTGCCCGAATGTGCCTGTGCTGCATGGTGCCCGAATGCGCTTTTTGTGCTGCATGATGCCCGAATGTGCTTGTGTTGCATGGTGCCCAAATGCACCTGAGCTGCATGATGCCCGAATGCGCTTGTGCTGCATGGTGCCCAAATGCACCTGAGCTGCATGGCGCCCGAATGCGCTCGTGCTGCATGGTGCCCAAATGCACCTGAGCTGCATGGTGCCCGAATGCACTTGTATTGCATGGCTCCTGTATGTGCCTGTGCTGCACAGCTTTTGCTCTGTACCTGCTGCTGTCTTGGTTGGGTTTAGTCAGACCCTGCGTCGAGTCCTCCCACACACTGTTGGCCATGGCATTCCCAATTCCCGTCATCACCATGATGAGTTCAACAGGCCAGTCATCCAGGTCGAGGGAGCGAACCCGTGACAAGTGTGTACCCAGGTTCCGGTGGATTCCCGAGCATTCTATACAGATCAGGGCTCCAAGGTTCAAACTTGCCCAGTCAGGATCTGCAAGAAGGGTGGACACATTAGTATACCACTGGCAATGCAAAATTGGTGAAAGAAACCAAGGGGTAGTATCTGCTTGCATCATGCAGTGGGCATGAGAAACCTCATCAAACTAAGGCCTTGATTGTGCCTGAGGTGAGCTATAAACCCCTTTTCACAGAAGGTATTCTGGGTGGGTGAAGGGCCACAACACAGGACTGCAACATGACATCAATATTAGGGGTTCAGGACTGAGTCACTTTGAGAGCTTCAGCAGTAACTAAACCGTTGCTGCAGTACAAGTCACTGAGGTATACAGCATGGAAACAGACCCTTTGGCTCAACCCCTCCATGCCAACCAGATTTCCTAAAATGATCTAGTACCATTTGCTTGCATTTGGCCCATATCCCTCCAAACCTTTCCTATCCATGTACCTGTCTAAATGTCTTTTCAATATTGTAATTCTAGCTGCCTCTATGACTTCCTCTGGCAGCTCATTCCATTTACGCACCATGCTGTGTGTGAAAAAGTTGCCCCTCAGGTCCCTTAAAAATATTTCCCTTCTCACCTTAAACCTATACCCTCTAGTTTTGGACTCCCCCTACACTTGGAAAAAGACCTTTGGTATTCACCTTATCTCTGCCCCTGATGATTTTACAAACCTCTATAAGGTCACCCATTAGCTTGTACGTTCCAGGAAAAAAAGTCCCAGCCTATCCACCACAAACCCTCTAGTCTCGGTAACATCTTTTTGCACCCTTTCCAGTTTAATAACATCCTTCATATAGCACAGCAACCAGAATTGTACATGATACACCAAATGCGGACTTACCAATGTCTTGTACAGCCATAACATAATGTTCCACCTCCTGTTCTCAATACTCTGACTGATGAAAGCCAGCGCGCCAAATGCCATGTTCACCAACCTGTCTACCTGAGACACCACTTTGGAAGAAGTAATGTACTTGCACCTCTAGATCTCTCTGTTTGAAAACATTTCCCAGGGTCCTACCAGTTACTGTGTAAGTCCTGCCCTGGTTTGTCTTACCACAATGCAACACCTCATATTTATCTAAATTAAACTCCATCTGCCATACCTTGGACCACTGGCACATTTGATCAAGATCTTGTTGTTCTCTTACATAATCAACTTCACCAAGTTTGGTGTCATCTGCAAACTTACTAACCATGCTTCCTATATCTCATCCACATCATTTATGTAAGTGATGAACAACAATGGACCCAGCGCAGATCCTTGTGGCACATGCTGGTCACATGCCTTCAGTCTGAACAGCATCTCTAACATCACCCACTGTCTCCTAGTGTCAAGCCAATTTTGTATCCAATTGCCTAGTTCTCCCTGGATCAGTCAAGTTAGTGAGACATGATTTCCCACACACAAAGCCACGCTGACTGTCCCTGATCAGTCCTTGCCTTTCCATGGGCATATAAATCCTGTTTCTCAGAATCCCCTCCAACAACATACCCACCACCGATGTCAGGCTCACCAGTCTCTAGAACCATAGAATCCCTCCAGTGTGAAAGCAGGCCATTCAGCCCATCGAGTCATATTGACCCACCAAACAGCATCCCACCGGGACCCATACCACCCCCTACCCTATCCCTGTAACCCCGCATTTCCCATGGCCAAACCAGCTAACCTGCAATCTTTGGATTGTGGGAGGAAACCAGAACACGTGGAGGAAATCCACACAGACATGAGGAGAATGTGCAAACTCCACACACACACAATCACTTGAGGGTGGAAGTGAACCCAGGTTCCTGGTGCTGTGAGGCAGCAGTGCTAACCACTGAGCCACCGTGCTGCTTATAGTTCCCTAGCTTTTCTGATGAAGGGTTTCGGCCCAAAACGTTGACTTTCCTGCTCCTCGGATGATGTCTGACCTGCTGTGCTTTTCCAGCTCCACATTTATTGATTCTAACTTCCAGCATCTGTAATCTTTACTGTCTCCTGGCTTTTTCTTGCAGCCTTTCTTAAATAAAGACACAACATTAGCCATCCTCTGTCTTCTGGCACTTCACCCGTGGCTATTGATGATACAAATACCTCTGCTAGGGGCTCCGCAATTTCTTCCCTAGCCTCCCACAATGTCCTGCGAAACACTTGATTATGTCCCTGGGATGTATCTACCTTTATGCATTTTAAGACCTCCAGCAGTTCCTCTTCTGTAATGTGGACTCTTTTCAAAATATCACTATTTATTTTCCAGAGTTCCCTAGCTTTCATGAGTTTCTCCACAGTAAATACTGATGCAAAATATTTGTTCAGGATCTCACCCATCTCCTGTGGTTCTACACATTGATGGCCACGTTGATCTTTAAGGGGCCCTGTTCTCTTCCTAGCTCCTTTTTTGCCCTGAATATACTTGTAGAATCTCTTTGGATTCTCCTTAACCTTACCTGGCAAAGATATCTCGTGTCTCATTTTTGCCTTCCTGATTTTCCTCTTAAGTGTACTCCTACACTCTCTAGGCTCATCAAGGGATTCACTCGATCCCAGTTGTCTATACCTGATAAATGCCTTCTTTCTTTTGACCTCAGGACCTCAATAGCTCTAGTTATCCAGTGTTCCCTGCCCTGACAGGCTTGCCCTTCACACTAACATGGACACGCTGTTCCTGAATTCTTGTTATCTTGCTTTTGAAAGCCTCCCACTTGCCAGGCATCCCTTTACCTGCAAATAACCTCCCCCAGTCAACTTTTGAAAGTAAGTGATTGTTCCCTCCATCATCTCTTATTGGACCATCTAATAGAGTCTCACCTCAGTCCTGCACAATGGTCTTGCTGCAGTCTGCAGCTTGCTGCACACTGATAATCATGGTAGATTTAAATCTACACAGACTGAAAAGTCAGATTGGTAAAGGGAGCCGAGATGAGGCATTCATAGAATGTTTTCAGGGTAGCTTTTTAAAGCAGCATATTCTGGATCCAACTAGAGAATATGATATACTAGACTTGGTATTTTCCAATGCGATAGAATTAATCAGTGATCTCATAGTGAAGGTGCCCCTAGGTCACAGTGACCACGATACATTTGAATTTTATATTCAGTTTGGGAGGAGTGGGTCCAAGCCTATTTTATAAAATTTAAATAACGGTAATTATGAGCAGTTGAAAGCAGAGCTTGCTAAAGTGAATTGGCAAATTAGATAAAGCATAGATTAATAAGTGATGCAGTGACAGACCTTTGAGGGGATATTTCAGAATACAGAGAATAAATACACTTCGATGGTTAACTAAAGTTCCAAGGGATGGATTCGTGGTGAACTAGAAATGTTAACGATATTGTTAAATTAAAATATCATTGTGCAAAGACAAGTAGAAGACTGGACAAAATATAAACAATAGCAAAAAATTAATTAGAAGGGAAAAATTAAAGATGAGAGTTAGCTTGCAAGAAATATAAAAAGAGAGTAAGAGTTTCTATAAATATTCAAAGATGAAAAGCGTTAATGAAGTGAGTGCAGATTGAAAGGAAGTGAGTCTGGAGAATTAATAAAGGAACGTAAAGAAATGGCAGAAGAATTAAACAGGTATGGTACAGGATACAAGTAACATCCTAGAAGCAGTGATAAGTCAGGAAATGGAAGTTGGGGGATGGGGGGAGCCAGAGAAATGTTACGAAGTAAATTGTTGGATCTGTGAGGTGACAAGTGTGGATCCTGATGAATTTCATCCCAAGGTCTTAAAAGAAGTAGCTAATGAGATACTGGATGTGCTGTTTTACATTTTCCAAAACTCCCTTGGTTTAAGGATGTTTCCATTTGATTGGAAAACAGTGAATGTAACTCCTTCACTCTGAAAGGGAGACAGAAAGCGTGAAATTACAGGCCAGTTAGCTTAAACTTCTATCATAGGGACAATGTTAGAAGCTATTGTTAAAAAAAAGTTATAAGAAAATGCTTGGCTAAGTTCAAGGTAATCAGGCAGAGTCAACATGGTTCTGCGAAGGGGAAATTATGATTAACCAATCCACTTGAGTTCTTTGAAGAAGTAACATGTACTGTGGATAAAGGGGAACTAGTGGATATACAGTACTTCGATTTCTAAAAAGCATTTGATGAGAGCCATTTTAAAGGGTATTGTGAAAAATAGAATATCATTGCACCACAAGGTTTGCTGCTGGGGTTTTAACTGTTTACAATTTATATCAATAACTTGGATTGATTGTTAAATTTGCTGATGACACAAGATAGGAGGAAAAGTAAATTGTGAAGACGATATCACAAGGCTACTAACAGATATAGATATGTTAAGTGAGTGGGCAAAGATGTAGCAAATGGAATATTATCTGGGGAAGTGCAGAATTGTTCATCTTGCTAGGAAGAATAAAAAGGAAGCTTATTATCCGAACAGTGAGAAATTTTAGAGCCCCATGATGCAGAGGCATTTGAGTGTCCTCACGCATGAATTGCAGAAGGCTTGTATGTGGATGCAGAAAGTACTCAGGAAAGATATTAGAATGTTCTTGTTTAATGAAGGGGAATTGAATACGAAAGGTAGGGAGGCTATGGTTCCATTATACAGAGCATTGGTCGGTCTGCATCTGGAGTAATGTGCACATATTGATAGTTAAGGAAGGACGTAAATGCATTGGAGGCAGTACGGAGACTAATGGTTGGAATGAACAGGTTGCCTTATGTGGAGAGGTTGCTTGGGATGGGCTCAATTTGTCTGGAGTTTAAAAGAGTAAGAGGCAGCTTGATTAAAACATATAAAATCCTGTCCAATCTGTACAGAGTGAATATGGAAACTTATTTCTTTTGATGAGAAAATCTAGATTCTTTATAAGCAAGCTAGTGAAAGATTATCAGGAATAGGTGGGAATGTGCAGACCATCCATGATCTTATTGAATGGTGCACAATCTTGAGCGGCTGAGTGACCTACTCCTGCTCGACAGTTATATGCTTGTACTCAGCACAGGCCTGCAACATAGGACTTGTTACAGTCTTGCAATGTGGGACTCTTTACAGTCCTGCAATGTGGGACCTGTTAGTGTCCTGTGTTCATAAGTTCATAAGATATAGGGGCAAAATTAGGCCATTCAGCCCATCAAAGTCTATTCTGCCATTCGATCATGGCCGATATGCTCCTCACCCCCATTTTCCTGCCTTCTCCCCGTAAACCTTCAACCCATTACCAGTTAAAAATCTATCTAACTCCTCCTTAAATTTACTCACTGTCCCAGCATCCACCGCATTTTGGGGTAGCGAATTTCACTGATTCACAACCCTTTGGGAAAAGTAGTTTCTCCTCAATTCTGTTTTAAATTTGCTACCCCTTATCCTAAGACTATGACCCCTTCTCCTAGAATGTCCCACAAGAGGAAGTATCCACTCCACATCTATTTTATCTATACCTTTTATCATCTCGAATACCTCAATTTGATCTCCCTTCATTCTTCTAAATTCCAGAGAGTATAGGCCTAAACTGTTCAATCTCTCTTTATTTGACAAACTCCTCATCTCTGGGATCAATCTAGTGAACCTCATCTGAACTGCCTCCAATGTCACTACATCTTTCCTCTAATAAGGGAACCAAAACTGTGCACAATACTCTAGGTGCGGTCTCATCAATGCTTTGTATAGTTACAACAATACTTCCTAACTTTTGTATTCTATTTCTTTAGCTATGAAAGCCATTCCATTCACTTTCTTTATTATCTGCTGTACCTGCATGCCAGTTTTCTGTGACTCATGAACAAGGACGCCCAGATCCCTCTGAACCGGAACACCTTGAAGTCTCTCCCCATTTAGAATATAGGTCGCCTTCCCATTTTTCTGACCAAAATGCATGGCCTCACATTTATCCACGTTAAACTCCATCTGCCATCTTTTGGCCCACCCCGTAACCTATCCATATTCATTTGTGAGGTTCTTATTTCCTCATTGCAATTTACCGTCCCGCCTATTTTTGTGTTATGTGCAAATTTGGCTATAGAGCCTTCTACACCTGTATCCAAGTCGTTAATGTAGATTGTAAATAGTTGGGTCCAAGTCGTTACTGTAGATTGTAAATAGCTAGGTCCAAAGACTGAACCCCGTGGCACCCCACTAGTTACTACTTGCTATCCAGAAAAAAAACTCATTTATCCCGGCTCTCTGTCTTCTGTCCATCAGCCAGTCACCTATCCAAGCTAATAAATGACCCCTAATCCCATATGATCCAACCTTGCGAATTAACCTTTTGTGTGGCACCTTTATCAAATGCCTTCCGGAAGTCCAGATATATTGCATCTACAGGATCCCGATTATCTACTTTGCTTGTTACATCTTTGAAGAACTCTAGCAAATTAGTCAAACATGATTTGTCCTTCATAAAACTGTGCTGACTCTGGCATTTTGACTTTGCAAATGTCCTGATATTGCTTCCTTGATAACTGATTCTAACACTTTGCCAACAACCGATGTTAAACTAACTGGTCTCTATTTTCCACATATTGCCTCCCTCCCTTTTTGAATAAGGGCATTACATCAGCATTTTTCCAATCCACTGGAATCTTTCCCGTGTCCAAGAATTTTGGAATATTATCACCAATAGATTCACTATCTCCGCTGTTACTTCCTTTTAATACCCTAGGATGTAGGCCATCAGGCCTAGGGACCTTGTCTGCCCTCAATCCTAATAGTATGCTCAGTGCCTTTTCCCTATCAATGTTGATTGTTCTAATTTCTACCCTTACTAATGCCTCTGACTTGCCTGTTCCAATAGGAATGGTACTATTGTCCTCCACTGTGAAAACTGAGGCAAGGTATTGATTTAGTATCTCTGCCATTTCAGTGCTCCCCACTATTAACTCTCCAGTTTCATCTTCCAAGGGACCAGCATTCACCTTAGCAACTGTCTTCCCTTGTATCTACCTACAGAAGCTTTTGCTATCCTTTTTTATGTTTTGTGCTAGTTTTTTTTCATAATTTACCTTAGCTCTTTTTATTAATTTTTTAGTACCCCTTTGTTTATGTTTGAAAGTTTCCCAATCCTGTTGCCTGCCATTGGCCTTTACAATATGGTATACCTTAGTTTTTGACTTTATCTTGTCCTTGACCTCCTTGTTTAGCCATGGATATTTTTAAACCCCCTTACCATCTTTCTTCTTCACTGGGATTTATTTTAGTTGTGTCGTGGGACCCATTACAGTCCTGCGCTGTGGGACCCGTTATGGTCCTGTGCTGTGGGACACGTTACAGTCCTGTGCATTGACTTAGTGTCTTTCTGCAAATACTCACTTGGTGTGTCACAGTCAACACAGAATCCATTCCCTCGCATGTTCCGAATCGACTGGATAGCGATGGCATCACTCTGGCTTCCCAATCGAGACTAAACCAAAATGGAGAAAAACATAATTTATCAGGATGGTGCCAGTCTTCATTCAGAAGCAGGGATATTCAGTCCAAAGGCACACTGCTTTTAAATATATAAGCCCCGGTTTCTCCCAATATCCTTCACTCAACTCACTCTCACAACTGTAAATATTTGTGGCCCCAGCACTGATCCCTGTGGTACTCCACCAGTTAAAGATTGCTATTCTGAAAATGACCCCTCATCTCAACTCTCTGTCTTCTACTAGTTAGCCAATCATCTATCGAGGCTAATATACCACCCCCAACACCATGGGCTCTTATTAAGTTGCCTCATGGGTAGTACTTCATTGCACACCTTTTGGAAATCCAAATATATTACATCAACTGGTTCCCCTTTACCCATCCTGCTTCCATCTTCTAAGAATTGTAGTAAATTTGTCAGAGCATGATTTCCCCTTCCTGAAGCCAGGCTGACTCTGCTTTATCATATCATGTATTTGTTACTGCTCTGCTATTACTTCCCTTATAATGGACTCTGACATTTTCCCAATAACAGACATTAACCTGAATAATATTTACCTGCTTTTTGTCTCCTTTTCTTTCAAAATAAAGGTGCTACATTGGTAGTTTTCCAATCCTCTGGGACATTTCTACAATCTAAGGATTCTTGGTTATTACTCTCAGTGTTTCCACTATCTCTGTAGCCACCTCCTGTAAAATCCTCAGATACAACTGATTAGTCTTTAATCGCATTAGTTTCCCTAGTGGTGGCTGAAGGCAGATATCCCATATACTTCGCTCTACATCTTTAACTCCACCTCTGCCCATATCCCTCACTCCACGCTCTGCCCATATCTCACTCCACCTACCGCCATATCCTTCACTCTACCCTCTGCCCATTTCCCTCATTCCACCCTCCTCCATATCCCTCACTTCACCCTCTGCCCATATCCCTCACTACACCCTCATCCTTCATCCAGCCTCTCTCCATCCCATTCAATGCCTTCTCTCTTCAGGAGCAGTCTCTCTGGACTACACTGTCTTTACAGATAATGTATTCCATCATCTGTTCTCCTTTTTGGGTGAAATGGATCCCTCTTCTTACTCCTACCGTCCTTGGTATTTACTTTCTGTTGCTGGCATTTGAGCACAGGCTGTGCTGGCTCCATCCACTTTTTCTTTCTTTTCACATCATCCATTGCTGCATATTTAAAGGAATATTCTAATTAAATTCTTTATCGCTGCCTGTCACAGACCTCTGTACATCAGTGGCCTGTCACCTGTAATAATACTACCTGCTAACACACTGTACCTGGGCCAGGCCCAGGCTGCTGCATGACAGACAGGAGGCAGCAGCTGCCAGAGCTCAGAATACAATTTGCTCCACGTTCTCAGTATTGTTAGATATCAGAAAGAGAGAGTTGTCACTAACCAGTAATTTCATTGCAGAAGAGTGAGTAAACTGTATTTTGTTCACACTAACCGGGTAAGCTTCAATACTGGAGAGGATGTGATGCTTACACTGTGACCTGTACATTGTAATATGAGCAACTCAGTCATGCTGGCTAGAATTCCAAAATTATTCAGAATGAACAGCAACCAGCTTACAAATCAGAAAACAGGGAAGGTGTTCACAGTGCTTACTCAGACTGCCTAAAGGTGGTCACTCATTTGAGTGTTTGGGGACACTTTCTGAGCTATCTGAGGTCCCAGCACCCAGTGATGGAGAGGTGAAACAGAAAGGTGATACCTTATTTTTGCTGCTTTCACACGACTGTAGACTGGCAAAGATCTGACTCTCAACCACCAGCACCCATGATTCTCTCTCCTCAGAGTTCGAGGCCTCAAAATGCCACGTTTGTCCAGTCAACGATACAATCACAAACTCGTAAGATTCCTCACCATCTGTGAAACAGAAAACAAGAGAGTGGGACAGTCAGAATCAAAATTAACAACATAGCATAATTTACAGCATCAAATACCCCCCTCAAAAACCCACTCATCCCTCATTAATACACAGCAGCCACTCAGCAGGACACCCACCCCACCCACAACCCCAAACCCCACACCCACGTACAACCCTACACCCACCCACAACCCCACATCCACCCACAACCCCACACCCACCTACAACACTACACCCACCCACAACACCACACACATCTACAACACCACACACATCTACAACACCTCACCCATGTACAACCTCATAACCCAACCCACAATTCACACAGCACCCTTAGCCCACACCTGAAAAACCACCCTTAAGCTACCCCACACAGCACTCACAACTCACATCCCACACAGAACCACAGCCTCCCTCCCCAGACAACATCCACAACTCTCACCCCTACCCTTCACTACTACCCTTACAATGTAACACCTCACCAACACATACCACCCAGATGCACTGAAACCCATTCACACGCAACACCCACTCATAGAAATTCAATCATACTCTACTTCTTGTTACCACTCCAGCAAACATGTATCTAACCCTGTGCTGTCCCAGTCCTGGGACTGTTTGATGGGGGACAGTGTAGAGGGAGCTATAGTCTGTATATAACCCTGTGCTGTCCCAGTCCTGGGACTGTTTGATGGGGGACAGTGTAGAGGGAGCTATAGTCTGTATATAACCCTGTGCTGTCCCTGTCCTGGGACTGTTTGATTGGGGACAGTATAGAGGTAGCTATACGCTGTATCAAACCCCGTGCTGTCCCTATCCTGGCGCTTTTTGATGGGGGACAGTGTAGAGGGAGCTTTACTCTGTATCTAACCCTGTGCTGTCCCTGTCCTGGGACTGTTGATGGGGGACAGTGCATTTAGTTACAGGTCAAACTGTTGAAATCTTCCACTCCACTTTACTCCACTGCTCAATCACATTCTCAGCCCAGAGAAAAGGAAGTGTTCAGTGTTCACACTGTGACTATTTCCCCTCTTCACATTGTGGGACTGTATGTGATGGTGTGCATGCCAACTGTCTCATCCCTCTGAAATCCTCAAATTTATTTTCGTCATGATTCCATTGAGTCTGAAAACATTTTAAGAAGAAAGCAAACACCCCAAAGTCAGTGGAAAGAAAACTTCTAGTTAAGATTTCATTTTGTAAAACTTTTCCTGTAACAAACCAACTAAAATCAACATAATTCAAACATGAACAGGTGAAGGATATTGCAAATAAGAAGGCAAATTTCACTATAGTTTATGCAATGAAGATATGCTTTGACTAGTTACAAACACTGACATTGCTTCCTGCACAAATGTGAGACTAATTGCAAACTCAGTCTTTCCAAATTGGTTTTATTCTGCAAGATTTTCCACTTCCTATTTCATCACTTTGATCTTTGAGGCATCTTCACCATCAGCTGATCTCCACTTTGAGTCCGCAGACGGAGATACAACATCAAGGCACACCTCAACCAACCCTCCATCATTTGGGTTATAACAGAATTTTTGGCACAGAATCCCAAAAGAACCCGTCCTCTCACCTCTTCCCACGGTTTGGTGGGTTCTGGCATCACTTCAGCTGTTATGGTGCATATAGGCACCAATGATATAGGTAAAAAACGGGATGAGGTCCTACAAGCAGAATTTAGGGAGTTAGGAGCCAAGTTAAAATGTAGGACCTCAGAGGTAGTAATCTCAGCATTGCTGCCAGTGCCATGTGCTAGTCAGAGTAGAAATGAAAGAATAGGCAGGATAAATGAGTGACTTGAGAGATGGTACAGGAGGGAGGGGTTGAGATTTTTGGGACATTGGGACCGGTTCTGGGGGAAGTGGGGCTATTACAAATCGGATGGTCTACATCTGGGCAGGACTGGAACCAATGTCCTAGGGGGTGCTTTTGCTAACACTGTTGGGGAGGGTTTAAGCTAATGTGGCAGGGGGATGGGAACCAAATGAGGAGGTTAGTGGACAGTAAGGAGGTAGCAACTAAAGCCTGTAAGGAACTAGATAATGAAGTCAGTGTGACTAAGGGGAAGAGGTAGCAGAGAGCAGATGATGAACACAAAGGGACAGGTGGTCTGAGGTGCATTTGTTTTAATGCGAGAAGTGTAGTAAGTAAAGCAGATGAACTTAGGGCTTGGATTAGTACCTGGGAGTATGATGTTATTGCTATTGCTGAGACTTGGTTGAGGGAAGGGCAAGACTGGCAACTAAATATCCCAGGATATAGATGCTTCAGGTGGGATAGAGAGAGAGGTAAAAGGGGTGGAGGAGTTGCATTACTGGTCAAAGAGGATATCACAGCTGTGCTGAAGGAGGGCACTATGGAGGACGTGAGCAATAAGGCAATATGGGCAGAGCTCAAAAATAGGAAGGGTGCCGTAACAACGTTGGGGCTGTACTACAGCCTCCCAACAGCGAGCGTGAGATAGAGGTACAAATATGTAGACAGATTATGGAAAGATGTAGGAGCAACAGGGTGGTGGTGATGGGAGATTTTAATTTTCCCAACATTGACTAGGATTCACTTAGTGTTAGGTGTTTAGATGGAGCAGAATTTGTAAGGAGCATCCAGGAGGGTTTTCTAGAGCAGTATGTGAATAGTCCAACTTGGGAAGGGGCCATACTGGACCTGGTGTTGGGGAATGAGCCCAGCCAGGTGGTCGAAGTTTCAGTAGGGGATTACTTTGGGAATAGTGATCACAATTCTGTAAGTTTTAGAATACTGATGGACAAAGACGAGAGTGGTCCTAAAGGAAGAGTGCTGACTTGGGGGAAGGCCAACTATAGCAAAATTCGACAGGAGCTGGGGAATGTGGATTGGGAGCAGCTGTTTGAGGGTAAATCCACATTTGATGTATGGGAGGCTTTTAAAGAGAAGTTGATTAAAATGCAGGACAGACATGTCCCTGTGAAAATGAGGGATAGAAAGGGCAAGATTAGGGAACCACGGATGACAGGTGAAATTGTGAGACGAGCAAAGAGGAAAAAGGAAGCATACATAAGGTCTAGGCGACTGAAAACAGACAAAGCTTTGGAAGAATATCGGGAAAGTAGGACCAATCTGAAGCGAGGAATTAAGAGGGCTAAAAGGGGTCATGAAATATCTTTAGCAAACAGGGTTAAGGAAAATCCCAAAGCCTTTTATTCATACATAAGTAGCAAGAGGGTAACTAGAGAAAGGGTTGGCCCACTCAAGGACAAAGGAGGGAAATTATGCGAGGAGTCAGAGAAAATGAGTGAGATTCTGAATGAGTACTTTGCGTCGGTATTCACCGAGGATAGGGACATGACGGATGTTGAGGTTAGGGATAGATGTTTGATTACTCTCGGTCAAGTCGGCATAAGGAGGGGGGAAGTGTTGGGTATTCTAAAAGGCATTAGGGTGGACAAGTCCCCAGGTCCGGATGGGATCTATCCCAGGTTACTGAGGGAAGCGAGAGAGGAAATAGCTGGGGCCTTAACAGATATCTTTGCAGCATCCTTGAGCACGGGTGAGGTCCTGGAGGACTAGAGAATTGCTAATATTGTCCCCTTGTTTAAGAAGGGTAGCAAGGATAATCCAGCTAATTATAGACCGGTGAGCCTGACGTCAGTGGTGGGGAACTGCTGGAGAAGATACTGAGGGATAGGATCTATTTACATTTGGAAGAAAATGGGCTTACTAGTGATAGGCAGCATGGTTTTGTGCAGGGAAGGTCATGTCTTACCAACTTGATAGAATTCTTTGAGGAAGTGACAAAGTTGATAGATGAGGGAAGGGCTGTAGATGTCATATACATGGACTTCAGTAAGGCGTTTGATAAGGTTCCCCATTGTAGGCTGATGGAGAAAGTGAAGTCCCATGGGATCCAGGGTGTACTAGCTAGATGGATAGAGAACTGGCTGGGCAACAGGAGGCAGAGAGTTGTAGTGGAAGGGAGTCTCTCAAAATGGAGAACTGTGACCAGGGATCCGTGTTGGAACCACTATTGTTTGTGACATACATAAATGATCTGGAGGAAGGTATAGATGGTCTGATTAGCAAGTTGCAGATGACACTAAGATTGGTGGAGTAGTAGATAGTGAAGGAGACTGTCAGAGAATGCAGCAGAATATAAATAGATTGGAGAGTTGGGTGGAGAAATGGCAGATGGAGTTCAATCCAGGCAAATGCGAGGTGATGCATTTTGGAAGATCCAATTCAAGAGCGAACTATACGGTAAATGGAAAAGCCCTGGGGAAAATTGATGCACAGAGAGATCTGGATGTTCAGGTCCATTGTGCCCTGAAGGTGGCAACGCAGATCGATAGAGTGGTCAAGAAGGCACACGGCATGCTTTCATTCATCGGACGGGGTATTGAGTACAAGAGTTGGGAGGTCATATACAGTTGTGGCTTCCACCACATTTGGAATACTGTGTACAGTTCTGGTCGCCACATTACCAAAAGGATGTGGATGCTTTGGAGAGGGTGCAGAGGAGGTTCACCAGGGTGTTGCCTGGTATGGAGGGTGCCAGCTATGAAGAGAGGTTGAGTAGATTAAGATTATTTACATTAGAAAGACTGAGGTTGAGGGGGGACCTAATTGAGGTCTACAAAACCATGAGAGGTATAGACAGGGTGGACAGCAAGAAGCTTTTTCCCAGAGTCGGGGACTCCATTACTAGGGGTCATGATTTCAAGGTGAGAGGGGAGAAGTTTAAGGGAGATATACGTGGAAAGTTCTTTATGCAGAGGGTGGTGGGTGCCTGGAACACGTTGCCAGCAGAGGTGGTAGAGGCGGGCACGACAGCGTCATTTAAGATATATCTAGACAGATACATGAATGGCTGGGGAGCAGAGGGATACAGATCCTTGGAAAATAGGCGATAGGTTTAGATAGAGGATCTGGATCGGCGCAGCCTTGGAGGGCCGAAAGGCCTGTTCCTGTGCTGTAATTTTCTCATTTCTTTGTTCTTTGTTCAACAGCAGAAGAG